ACTCTTCCAATCACTTTGACTACTGCAAGCATTCCTAAGAGACATAGCCCCTTGGGTATATACTTCGCAACTGGGCCTGTGCGGTTTTATCCTTTTATTTAGAGGTGAGGAAGAGGAACTGAGAAAGAAAAAATGCTCAACTTTGTAGACCTGACACTCCAGTTTGAGCGCTTAAATATTAGTGCAAACAGAATTCTTGGGAAACTGAGAATCTTTCTTATAGAGCAAGGAATTCTCTGCAAAACGATATAAAACTCAATGGCAAAACCTTTTCATCTTAGCGCGATATTTCGAGTGAGAAAAACGCCATTACTTATGGGCCAATACTTCTGCCAATACTTTCAACTAGATTTTTTGACATCGGGACTGCAAAGCTGGACACTATTTTATAACTGTAGTAAGCGTAGACCTCACAGCTCAGTTACAGAGAGTTTTGTCGTGCGTTATTTCTCAGCGTCGAGCGCAACGGACCGGCAAATTACGATTGTCTTGACCGTCATCCATTTCCTAGCTAGTTGAGAAGACATAGCCATAAAGAGAGCTGGTCGACATGAGAGATGCAGACACAGAGAGTAGCTCGACGCGCCGCAGCACTTCTACGTTGGGTGGATTTGATCCTAGTGCGAATATTGCGCACGTTATCTCGCTTGCAATGCTATTTCGTAGTATTTTCTGCGACCGGGAAGCAACGCCCCATTCTCCACAGCTACTGACTCACCTTAGACGAGCAGCAGGAAAATTTTCTAGTGGTCATAGTAATCAAAATCTTCTTTCCCACTTTTACAGCTAGTTGGACAGGTCGACTTTGTGCAGTACGCTTGCTACCTCGCCTTCTATCCACTACTTCTACTGCAGTTGGTGCTCAACTGTTTCTCCGACCCATCTACGCTTTGCGATAGCAAGGTAACAGCTTTTTGAGTTTCCAGAATATTGAATGTTGCCTCAGTGTTGCCTGTTTTATTAAATTCCTCTTTACAAAGGAGCTGGTATAGAAAACAGACGAAGCAAGCATGAAGGCCATGCTACCTCTTTAGCATCTCAAGCCACATTTGACTTTTGCAGCATTTTGAGTACGTGGAAACGCATCCAGAGACGGCTGCTTCATTTCCTAATCGACAGCTTCTTTGGTGGTTTGGACCAATGGTGTCTAAGGCTTACAAGAAGCCTCTCGAAGTACGTTCCCCAAGCATGACGAACAAATCCTATTTTTCAAAAAAAAACTACAGCACTTCTTTTAAGATCGATGACTTGTTCGAGTTGGACGATGAGCTGAAATCGGATACGCTCATGGCGCAGTGGGAAGTAGAGTGGAACAAGGCACTAAGAGGTATATCGGCTCCCGAAAATTGAGATCCTTACAGAAAGTGTTACCGTATCCCCTTGTTTAGTACACGTCACTTTCTTTTCGGCCTTGATTAGTCAAAATTCATTTAGCTTACGAGAAACGGAAACAGGCCCAATCTGCGCCGTCGAGCGACAAATTCTTCACAGAAAAGTCGCCTCTCTTGCTTGCAAATGGCAAGGATTATGGTACACAAAAGAATGCAAACTATCTAGACGATCGTGAGTCGTGAAATGTCTTCTTTACTGCCTTTTTTCAGTCTTCTATACAACTGGCAGAAGCTTCTGTTTAAAGGCACACGATAAAATAAGGTTATGACCTCTCAAATGTGTCAGACGATCCAGGAAGATGACTCTGGAGGCTGCGTTACCTTTAAAAAGTGAAAACGGCAAGAACTCCGCTAAAGCTAACCAATTAGGCCCATTGGCACCCCTTAGGCCCATGCCGACCCCCACCGGCTGCTAGCTACTAGCTAGTAGCCACTATATACATATACCAGCTGCCTTGCCAGCAGCTCATGAAATGGCTCGGAGTGTACCGAATGGTTGCCTTATATATGCTGTTATCATAATCAAAACACTGGATTGATCCATCTGCACCAAT